TTAACATATTAAAGTAGAAATAGACAAAAGGAAAAGGTCTATATACACGATGTCTGAGATAGACACGTGATTCAGCACGTGACGGGCACTTCGTGAGATGCGGTTACTATCCCTGTTACGTGACACATACAGTCTCAGAAGGCACCAGTCAGTAAGGAAAAACGTCTGGAAGAACTTGTGAGAGACTCCGGCCGCCTCAGGCAAGAACTTGACTATTGGAAAGGCTTGGCTCTCACAGGAACCGCCTTCATGTCCGACGTCGAACAAGTTGTGGCACAGCTTCGAGATGCTTTCGCCCGTTTCGAGAGTGTCATGAATGAGACCAACACTATGCCTGCGGAGGGAAGTTCCGGCTATGGCCATCAGTCCGAATCTTGGCCGGGCGAAGACGTGGGGGTGCAGGCTGGAGACGAACCAGACTCGCCAGTGGTAGGCGATAGCCGTGGCGTGCTTCTGGCTCCAGTCAGGCGAGGTCGTGAAGGGTATGACTCTGAAGCCGTCAAGCCGGAGTTGAAGCGGAAGAAGCCACCATACAGTCGCGACCGAAATTGGTTTCCGATTTTTCGATTTTGCAAGTTTGCAAGTTTGTAAAACAACAGCTGTTCATGGCTTATGTCGCTGACGAAGCAGAAACCATCATGGCAGCGGTACCTGTCGCATGGACCTGCGATACTTGGCTGCAAGATCCAGAAACAGCAGTGGCCATCGTTCTGCGGATTATTTTGGGTAATGCACAGTTTGTGTTCTCTTGTAAAAGGACACAGTACCCCCCAGGAAGCAGAACCACGGTGAGGACCTGCTAACGCTGCTTCGTACCATGGCTCACAGCAACAAATATGTCGATTATTCACCCTCGACTGCTTTTGGCTTTTGATTACCGTTGACGAGCCGGCAGCGGAATCGGTACTTGAGCAATTTTCGACCCTCCCGAGCTTCAAAAGCGGCTTCTCAGACGGCGATTTTTGACGCTAATGCGAAATCAGACGCTTGGTTCTCTCGAATGGCCCTGGCAAAATCAGGTTGTCAGAGATCCCCCTCAACAAGAATCGAACTTCGCAGAGCGAACTCACTTTGCTACATAGGAGCCTATCGATTGCCCTTCAAGACACGATCAGCAATTGGCCCTACGCCCCTCATCAAAGTTTTGCTCGCTAATAAATATATACATGCATATGTTTACCAAAGCAGAGTGAAGAGTACGTCGAAGAAGTTTCGACATGAGATCACTTGTGGACTGCTGAGGAGGTTGCTCTTAGTCATTACCCCAGCTTACGTCATGCCTCTATGTGGTCGCGGATGGTATCCCGGTGTTTTGCCGATGGCCTTGAGGACAGGTGTTATTCGAACTTCTCAAATCCCACAAAGCATCTCTGGATGATGAGCAGCTGAGACATCGTGGGCCCCAACCTCGCTGCATCGCAGCACGAGCTCATTCGCGACATGATCATTAGTGGAAATTTGACTGATGTTTCTATTGCCAGAACTGCGGGATGCACTCTACGTACCATTCACAACATCCGAGCTAATTGAGAGTGCTTCGGTCGCGCGAAAGCTCCATTGAAAGGGGTCGGACAGCGAAGAAGCATCACTCCACCGATGCTCCCTGCTATGTGCGAACGACTGATCGAGAAGCCAGACCTGTATTGAGACGAGATGGTAATATTCCCTTGGGACGAATTCGATACCCCAGTGACGGCCTCAAGCACGGGTCGTGCCCTGGCCTCGGCTGTGTGGAGCAAGAAGGTGGCCCGTCGCGTTGCTTAAGAAAGGGATGCGGATCTACGAGACTTCTGTTTGCATGAGCTGTCAGCTTTCCGGGTGGTCGCCCCTTGGCGTAACCCCCGAGCAGGCGGCCCGATTCCATCGTGATCGCCGGTACCAGATCTTGCCTGCTCACGCACAAGACGATGTAGTCCACCCGCGTATATTTCAGGGAAGCACCGACAGTTATATATTTGGAGACTTCATTGAGGAGCTGCTTCACCTCTGCGGGCGGTGGCCCGAGCCCAAATCTGTGATCGTCATGGATAACGCATTATTCCATCATTCCGACCGAATCGACGAACTATGCGACAGAGCTGTAGTCAGGAAGTTGCTATTACCGCCCTACTCACCCGACCTCAACCCCATCAAGGAAGAATTTGCTGAGTTGAGAGCCTTGATCAAGCGGCACTATCAGCAACACGACGGCGTTTCTGAGCAAGACTTCCCAGGATTTCTGGAGTGATGTCTGCAAATAGTTGGAGCGCGGGAATCAAGCGCCCGAAGGCATTTCAGGAACGCTGGCATTGTTGTGGAAAAGCTATGATGAAGAGAAAGGTGTCAATGGAAATTGAGGGTAGATGCAAGAGAAATACTATGACATGCTGCTGAACTGCTCTGCCCGTGTCCTAATGTCCCTGAAGAAGCGTTTCGCGATCCCAATCTAAATTCCTGGTTCGATGAAGAATTCAGAATTCTGGTCTTCATGGATCTGCTCGAGATCGAAACCATCACCAAGCGCCACATCAAATGCTCTCCGGAATTCCTGTTACAACGTCTCGCATTGCACTTGGAAGCACTGCCAGTCGCAGCACTTTCTCATGGCCACGTCTCGCGGTCCTGCGGCATGCTGTTATGATACTACCTGACAGCAGACGTTCGATTCCGAGTGCGGCGTCATGGTAACCTCCGCTGAGGATGGAGGCGATGAAGCTGGCACCACATTAGTGACTTTGATCGGCGGGCAATTGCCGAAGGACGAGGTCTTCGCTTTGGCTTTTCGGTGTCTTTTTTTTCCTGTTGCTCCTCGGCATGAAGCTGATTGCGAACATTGTCAGGCACATCATTACGGTTCACCAATACGCCGGGCTGGTCCACGTATCGAACTAGGGCTCTCAAGTGATGACACTTCAGCTTGTAATGCCTCTTCCAGACTCCATCCCGCCAACAATGCGGTCCAAGGTCACAGGGCGACCCGGGACATTGCATCAGACTGTAGACACGCTGCCAGGTAGACGGCTGGCCTGTGGACGACTCTCCAGCATCAAGCAAGACCGTCCGTTCTTGTAGCCGGTCCTGCGTGATAGAAGAGGAGCGACGCTTGATGCCCCGCTTTGCTGTGCTCGAAGGTCCGCTTTCCACATAGTTGAAAGATGTTTTGATAGTGATCGCTCGTCCAGCACGGTAAAGGTGACTCCAGGTTTTTAAGTGTCCCTCTACAATAATCCAATCTACGTCCAGTTCGTCGAATCGTTTGAAAAGGTCACGCTGGGTGCGGCCGTACACAGATACGACGACGTCAGTATCATCAATCTTCAATGACTTGTTGCAGGGCAGCTTCTTCGTACCCAGCCGATCAAGCTTGTGTCGAAGGATTCGTGTCGAAACAGCATTCGGGGCGAGGACAAGGTCTGGTTCGCTTTTTCTGGCAACTAATTTATTATTCGCTGTCAACTTCCATTCGACAGTATACTGAATACACGTAGGCGGCTGTTCATCGTAGAGATCGTCGTCATCCCAGTCACTCGAGGAGACCGTCTGAATAACCACAAAGTCATCTGCCACGCTGGCGTCTGGCGGAATCAACAGCATCCGAAAATTCGTCAACTGGATTAAAAGCAGACCAGTCACAATCGTCGAACGTCAAGCCATCCGTATTGGGGACCTCGATTGCTCTGGCAGACTGGTGGATGCTCGTAAACATTCCAGGTGGGCAGAGGGGGGACTGCTAGACACGTGGCTATTTCCCAAGTAAAGGATGGCTTCCGCAATAATATTAATCCGTGACAAACCATGTGAGTATGTCACCTGACGGCCGATATCAGATAGTCTGTGAACCACAAACATGCTCATCTGAAGGCTGGCTTCTAAACATGCCGCTGTGGATTTGCGACTGGGAACTCTGCCGATATCCAGCGGTACAACGAGATGGCGATTGTTTGTTATGTCGCAAACACTTATGTCGCACCCACCTTCGAGAGCCATGGCATGCTTGCCCACGCGCAGAGGTCTGAATCAGGAAACTAGAAGTCGACCACACTGACAACGCTGACGAACTATACGGTAGGAAAATTGGGAGGCTTACTCCCTTCAGTACGCAGCAGCAGAAGCTCATGACCTAGATCAGCTGCGTCGGAAGATAAATGTCTCGAAGCTATGTTCCCGCGCGTCGATGATTAGAAACGGCATCCCTTGCGTGGTAGACCTGTCTACCAAGCAGCTGGCTTCTATGATGGGCAACCAGAATTGCCACGCCGAGATAGCCTTCGAAGATGGCGTCGTATGGATCGCCCGTTTTCGTATCACCAAAGCGACGTCACCACCTCAGGAAGTTCGTGACTTCATCATTCGAAGCGAAGCCGCAACGATGAGCTATCTTTGTCAAAACACTCGCCTACCGGTACCCCGGATTTACGATTGGTCCGACGAATCCAATCCAGAAAACAATATTGGAGTCAGCTATATCCTCATGGAAAAACTTGACGGACGGCCTCTGGATTGGAGGGCAGCAACTCCGACCCAGAGGGAGAAGATTATGCAGCAAGTTGCAGACATCTATATCGAAATCGAAAGACACCCCTTTGGATCTATGGGCTCACTTGTTACATCGTCACGGAATCCTCACCACCTAGAGGTACAAGGCCTTGCGCAACACACAACATACCAATCGGAAACCGGCCACGCTCTCGGTCCTTTCTCTTCTCCTGTAGACGGTTCTGCCGCCATCATTGAGACGTATCTTACTATGATAGCTAGCGGTGAACTTATTGCCTCTCGCCCGATAGACGCCTATCTTACGCATCGTTTCCGCTTAGATGTTATCGACCGACTTTGGACAGGCTCTACAGCAGAGAAACGATTTTTCTTGAAGCACCCGGATGACAAAGGCGACCACATCCTCGTCAATGATGACTTCGATATTGTCGGAATTATAGACTGGGAATGGACAAGGACGGTCTCTAGTATGGAGGCCTTTTGCTCCCCGTCGATGATGTGGCCGATTTCGAAGTTTTACGCCGGGTCTAACGAGTTGGCTCAGGACGAGCTAAGGCTCGCTGAAGTCTTCCGCGAAAAAGGTCGGGAAGATCTATCAGAACATATTCTCACGGGCAGGAAGGTCCAACGATTCTTTTTCGCTATGGGACCTGAAAGTCCTTCAGATGTGTCCAATTTTACGTCCCTTTTCGCAGGACTCGCTGGAGCCTTTGACTATGAGCACGAAGAGTGGGAGCGGTGGAAAAACGAAGCCCTCAACAGATGGAAAGACGACAACCAACTGCGAAATCTGGTACAACAAGATGGCGAGAAGGAAGGTTGATAGTATAAGTTGGCAAATCGGCCAGAATTAAGAACATGATGAATTGTACCATCGAGGAATGCATCTATGTTTCGAGATCATCAGTTGCATAGACTCGACGGTTATCCATTCCCAAGTCACTGCGTCGTTCCTTTGGCTTCTTCTCCATCACGCAACCATGTTAGGTTTACCAGTCCGAAAAGTGTTGTGTGAAATGGATGTACGCTTTCCCTCGAAATTGACTGGACAATCAGCTTGATTCTGTGATCCGGATGGTTTGTCTGTCAATGATGGGGTCAGAAAACATCCTGCAGGTCGACGCGCAGCATAGGAAAACCAACGTGTAGCACAGAAGCGGCCACCGCTCAATGCCCAAGCATCACACCCTTCTCTGGCGCATTTTTCAGCCATGTTTCCTGCGAGCTGCGGGCTGTGATGTTGATCGAGGTTTATGGATTGGATTTGGATGTGATGCTGCGGACGAAATATTTGAGGTTTAGACAGAATCAGGGACTGGAAGGGATGATGAGACTTGTCGATTCTTATATACTTGAAAGTGCACAACAGCACTCTCCTAGCCTGTATGTTATTGGCGGCAAATCATGCCACCCGGTGCAAGAAAGGCCAACTGAGAGCACATCTGCTGTAAGCTGTGGACAAATTGAAATGATCACCATACCTCCCTCATGCAAAGAAGACTTAGATAGGTAAGCCGAGACTGAGGTTTCTTCCTAACGGAAGCCACGCGCAGTATGCCATCAGTTGCCTGGCGTCCTAATCCGGATGTGCGTGCATGTTATCGCCGAGCCCAGACCCAATCTCCAACGCTTTGCGTCGGGTAGGCCTTTGATCGATTGATAGGTTTTTATGTGCATGATTTGAGCCGCTGTTTTAGTCAGCATTTATGCCCGGATAGCAAGGTTTGTCTGACAGTCGACGTGTCCACGACAAGTCGCGACGCGAGCCGCCGGGTGGAACACCAACAAAAGCGAGAACGAAATTTTTGAAATCGGAGCAAAAACAGCGCCACAACACACTCCGAAAGGTCAATGGGATAGCCGTGTGCTCGTCGCGAAGCCCATAACGACGTAGGCACCATGGCAACCCCATGGCCCCAGGAGCAAACATGGCCAACGCACCATCGAGAGCACGCCACTCAACTTAGCAGACACCTAGCAGACACCTTCAGACAGCACTCAAATCAATCGACACCGCAAACGAACACCCCCTTGACCCGAAAGCCGTGAGACTCACTCTCATTGCCACCATCGCCTTGCTGGCCAAAATGCAGAAATTGCCCGAGCTCGGACACCTCCACCAAGCTATTGAGAGTCTACGCGCGGAAAACAAGACAGCGAACGAGAGCAACATCCGCGAATCGAGAACCATCAGGATTGCTTTGCAGCAGAATATGGCCGAACTGAAGGAAAACACCAACACAACGCGCGCAGCCAGCGCGGCTGCCAAGGAGGCTTGGAAAGCCAGCGAGCTGGCGGTCAAGGTCGTGAAGGATATCAAAGCACTGGAGCCGATGAATCAGGGGAACACCGTGCAGTCATATGCCAGCGTAGCCGCCCGAGGACGACTTGCAGGGAGCATGCATAACCCCTGTAGTAAATCATTGTGAACATTAGAGACCCTATCACCATTGCCAGCATAAGAGCCATGAACCCCCGTAGCCTTAAGGCGCACGTAGACCGCGCCATCGAACAAAGCAGCAACGAGCATATCCGCAAGCTCAAGACCGTGTCCGCCAATCAACTCAAGAGCGGCGACCTGAGCGTCAAGACAGCAACGACGAAAGACATGGAGGCCCTCCGGCAGTTTGCCGAGGACTGGGAAAACCACATCGGCAACGGAGCCGCCGTGAGGATCCCAACCTACGGAGTGCTGGCGCACGGCATCAGAACCAGCTCCATGAACATGGATCGCTTTACAGAAATCAGAGACGACCTGCTGCAGGACAACAAAGCATTCATCCCCAGAGCGGACATCAAATACGTAGGCTGGCTGACCCAATCGGCCAGCAAAAAGACGGCATCATCAGTGGTCGTGGAGCTCTCAAGGGCAGAAGACGCCAACAAACTGATTGACGAGGGACTCATCTGGCAAGGCCAGGTGTTCCAATGCGAACGATACGATAGACAGTGCCGTCTGAGGCAGTGTTTCAAGTGCTGCGCATACGGCCACATAGGAACCCAATGCAAGGCAACGACAACATGCGGCTACTGTGCGCAAGAACACGCGACCCGAGATTGCCCCTCGAAGAGCGACACGACGACCCCAAGGAAATGCGCCGCATGCTACGGCGAACACGAGGCATGGCACG